TGTTGTATTTCACTGTTTATTGTATCTATGTTTTCTGTTTTTGTCAAATAGGGATAATAATACCAAGGCAATTCTTGTTGGAGGAACTAAAGATGTTGTATAAAAAAAAAAAAAAAAGTGCCTGGTGACAACTACAAAGGAATCATGTAACCAAAGCATAATGTAAATGCTATTTTGTTTCTGTACCCTTCATGCTTCACAATACATTAGGCACATAGGATCCAGTCTATTTTGGTTAAGAGTAATTGAACAACATGATATTCAGCTAGTCATCTTCATTTAATAAATAAGCAGGTATGTTGCATAGCCATCTCTAAAGCCAAGCTGCTGGTTTCTGGTCCCCACCAGCCAAGAACAGGTGGTACCAACAGACCAAGATCCTTCCGGTGTATCAGATGGTCTTCAAAAGGAATTAAGAGCAAGACTTTTGTCACATCCTATAATGTTTTCGATTCTCTGAACACTACCTTATGAAGTCCTTCCAGGTAGGGTATCCTTAAGGAAATGTAAGCCAGATAGACAAGACAGATAGGTGACCATATTTAAGGACCAAACTATGTATAAAATACTAACACATTTTCTCCGATTGACCTAAACAGTGGCGCCCCTGAAAGGGAAAGTCTACATAAAGTTTCTGAAGATGTGTCTCTGGAATTGTGATGAAGTAATTCTTCTTCATACATAATTCTGTTGCTAAGCATTTTCTATAAATAACAAATGGTAGTAGGGGAGAGAGGGGAGACATTTGCACTTACCCAAAAAGGAAAATACCTTGTCAATTTTTAAATGGGGTTTGAATAAAATTCAAAGTAAGAAGGATTCTGCTCCTTTTCTTTTTATGCCTTTAAAAACTGTTGAAGTAAACTGACTAGAGGTTACAAGCGTGAGCCAGAAAGAAGAAGGAAGAGGGAATTAGCTGGTATTTATAAGGTTTTGCTTTTCTCCATTAGCTGGGTGGATTGTTTGTGAAGGACTTTTTTCTGTTTAAGTGTGTTGTATTCACTGACATTGGACTGCTGATTTTAATTAGGGATTATCAGCCTGTAAAAACACATGGACTCAGTGGTTTCATAGCATTGGGTGGATGACAGGATCATATGAACAGGGTCTGGGTTCTCCAGAACTGCTGTCTGATGTCTATCTATGTATGTTTCGGGTTAGCTGTTATATGTGTTTTAGTTTAACCAACGAGATGCATTCCTTAGATAGGAAATGGTGGCTTTCTTGGAATAACAAACCCCAGCATATAACTATGTCAAGGCAGGATGAATTCAAAAGTGTTTGGATGAATTGGGGAAATGATAAATGATGTATTATGATTTTTAAATCCACTTCTGGCCAATTTCGGACTTTATTTCAAACAGCTGTGGCCCATTTGGAAGCCATTTTGTAGCTCAGCAGAACACTAATATTTACTGTATGAATCACATACCTTTAAAATATTTGTCTTTCCTGAGAGAAACTATGTCTTCCCCAAACTTAACTTTGACATAAATGAGATCCATCCTCACAGGTCTCGAGGTCAGGCCGGTGTACTGGATCACTGGAGTGACTGCTCACTGTCGAATGCTATCCCACAACCCCTGTAGTTTCTGCTAATGAAGGGCTTTCTCTTTCCCTAACTTGAAGTTCTGAAACATCTTTTAGGGACTTTTTTAGCAGCTATCTTTAAATTTCTGTCCTAGAGTAAGAGTTTCCCCTACTTTCTTTACATGTGGAATTCTCCCGTGTAAGTATCATTCTCTGGGGTTGGAAGTCTTTGGACATTTCCATTAATGTAGCATTCGAACAGCACCCTAGGCCAGCTTTAGAGAGAAGCATCAGAGAGGCACGCACAGCATGTAGTATTGGAGCCATTAGGCAGTTCTCAAAGGTGGATGCTCTAATTACCACTGGGTAGGCAACCTCAGACTTCCACTCTGATCTGGGCTACCATCCTTTAAACACAATTACAGAAATATACCTCCTGAAATGAGCCACCTTTGAGTTCTCCCCCTGCACATCTGCAGCTATTTGGGAGCATGTGGACCCATCAGTCCACATAATGTGAAGTGATGAGTTTACACATCCCTAAAGTGGTGTTTAGGCACTTACACAATGATCCCAGCATAGCCGATCATCAATAGCCAATGGGGAGCCATTTGTGAAACAGGGATCTCTGAATGCTTGTCAGGTATCCCCTAACAGCATTGATCCTGGGTGGAACCGGGCCGTGTGTTCAGTCTGAAGTATGGGAGTTATGTGCTTCTCTGTCCAAGAGTTGTTAATCAACACATTGCAGGAATGTTAACACTTTGTGTGGTGTTAGCTGCCAGCAGCCCCACAAAGGGTAAACCTCATGACTACACTGTTGTGGTTCCAAATAAAAGCCAAGTCAAAGAAAGAGGAAATGCTAGAATCATGCCATCTTACCTTTTGCTGCTCAGGAAATAACATTTGGGGAAGGCTACATATATTATAATCTCTCTAAAAGCTAAATTAGTGCACAGTATAGCATATTAATTCACATTGTGATGTAATTATTTAGGACACTTAGAAGTGTTAAAGATTTGTTTACTAAATATTTTCTTCAAATTTTTCTAAAATGTCTATATGTATGGGAGGAAATACCTCTCAAAGCCACGGAGTGTGTCTGAGTGTGTGTGTGTGTGTGTGTGTGTGTGTGTGTGTGTGTGTGTGTCTGTCTGTCTGTCTGTCTGTCTGTTAGTGTCTGTGTGCATGTTTGTGTGTATGTCTGTGTATGTGTCTGTGTGTATCTCTGTGTGTGTCTGTGAATGTGTATGTCTGTGTGTGTGTATATATATCTGTGTGTTTGTGTGTGTCAGTGTGTATGTATGTCTGTGTGTATATGTCTGTGTGTGTATGTGTGTGTCTGGTGCTATATGTGTGTGTATCTGTGTGTCTATGTGTATATGTATATTTGTTCATTTATGTGTTTGTGTGTCTGTGTGTGTATATGTGTGTCTTTGTGTCTGTGTGGGTTTGTGTGTGTGTCTGTATGCATTTGTGTGTATGTCTGTGTGTCTGTATGTGTATGTCTGTGAGTGTATCTGTGTGTGTATATGTATGTGTGTGTGAGAGAGATGCATGCATGCACATGTAGACATGCATGCCCCTATGCATGCATTCAGAGATCAGAGAGGGACTCTGGTCTATTTCCTTATTGCTCTTTGCCTTATTGCCTTGAGACAAGGTATCGTTTTGAACAGAAGCATGCCATTTCTGCTAGGACAGCTGACCAGCAAGTTCTACTCTCAGGATCTCCCTATGCCTTCCCATGATGCTGGGGTTACAAGCATGGACAGCCATGCTGAGAGATTTATATGGGTCCTGGCACTTAAAACAAGCCCTCATACTTGTAAGCAAGCACTCTTCCCACTGAGCAATCCTTCCAGTCCCACAGAACCACTTTAAGGTAGTAAGAAGAAACTGTGCTTAATGTCATTATTTACAAATTATGTCATGGAGAAATGAATGTAAGGAAAAACTAGTAGGAGGGGGAAAGGACTAAATCAGTAAAGATCAGAAGTGCCTTCTTTCTAATTGTGCCTGGGCCGAGTAGGGTCATAATGTTCAAATACTTTAGTGTCATTTGTATTCACGTGAGAATTTCCACAGAAGAGTCTGGGTTTGAATTCTGCAATAATCCTGTGAATCTTTGACACTCCTGAGCTTCAATCAAAAGGATATATCAACTTTCGTATCATGAACACTAAGAAAACTTCTAAACAGCATAGCTCACTTTCTTTGGTTTCTCAATTAGTAAAGATGGTAGGATGATCAAATGGTAACATTGCACTAATGTGTCTTTACTTCAATCAGTTTTTACTCTATGAAATTGTAGATGTGAAATTCAAAGCTGTTAGGCCTCCTAAAGGGGCGTAATCACATTCATTTCATAGGCCCTTCTAGGATTCAGCTGCAAGGGTAGTCATTTGCTGGACTTCAAATAATTCATGAGTAAATAATATTTCTCACATCTCAATTTCAGAGTGGGGATATAGCAAACCTGTCTCTAGAACTTAAAGATTTCCCTCTACTGCTGGCTGCTTAGCCTTAGACAAGTCTTTATTTAACTGCCCAAACAGATTCTACACAGCTTCTCAATAATAATCTGAGTCTGATTAACAGTCACAGCAGGGGGAATACATTTCCATTTCCACAGTAAATGTTGAAGAGCGTTTTGTTCATTTGGGTTGATGTCAAAAGATCTCAGAACTTAGGAACCTTGAAAACAGCCTCAGGGAAGAAGGTGAGCCCCTCTGTACCCCCAAAGCAACACAGTGACTTGTGAAACACAGGAACTGGTCACTGCTCAGGTCTCCATTGTTTTTACTTTGGTTTCCAAGCCTCTGTGGGTGTCTGTCCATTGTAGACAACTTTTACAAGGTCATCCATGTTTCTGTTGGAAAATACATGACACGCAGGTAATGTGGCATGGCGGGTTGTGTCCCTATCCACTCACAATCCTATTCCAATGCCACTGTACCCTTGCCCACTGCCACTGACTCCCAAATCCTTGGTGATAGAACTTGAAGGCTCTTAAAATTGTGATAACCCACAACTGCCAATACCTGTTTGTTGATTTCCATACTGAATACGCATGCATCATCCTTGAATCTCATTTCGGTTTTGTGTTTGGTTGGCATGGAGCACAAATGTTAAAATATTACGATGCCGCTGAATTACTGCCTGCTGTATAAATATGAATTCTTCTCAGGAAGCCTTCATCAATGCTGCCATTTATTCCCATGCTCTCCGATCATTTCAAAACCATTCTGAAAAAGAAAATGCAAAACTTTACAATTGTGGATTCTCTTCTTACAGAGTCCATTTTTCTTCTCTTTTCAAATGTGTTTCAGGAAAAACGCACACTCTTTGGGAGCTATCTATTATTATAAAATTATCCATATGTATGTACAATTACCATTCTGTATTGTCCATTCTCGAAACAAAGGCAGATACATGGTCTAATTTAAGACTTTCTGTCGCTGTCACAGGTTTATAAGAAGAAAACTGAGGCTGCAAAGAAGGAGTATCTGAAGCAACTAGCAGCATACAGAGCCAGCCTGGTATCCAAGGTAACATGCAATTGTGTGACACTGTGACAGACCATGGCCACCTCCATTCAGACTCTAATAATCATTTAAAGGCATAAATGATCGTGTTAGCACTTCTACACCATTCTCTTTGTTAAGGAAAAAAAAAAGTACATCCTAAACAAACCTGTGTGTTGTGGAAATATGTTTATCCCTGGAAGACCAGAGCTGTTTCTGGCCTTTGATAGACACCGTCTACCTGTAGATTGTTCGTTTTGCAGTTAAACACGGCAAATCCTTAATCAGGAGCTGACCCTGCTCCAACCTGTACCTTCCTTCCACTGTGTGAGACTCTCCTGAGGAGATGCCACCCACTTCAATTTCTGGTCTCATTATATTGGAACCAGGATACAAAGTCCCATCACTCTGTTTTTAAATGAGTATGCCAAAAAATACTGTGTGTTTCAGTATATCTTATATGTCAGTCCTTGCTGATTACACATACCAGAGAGCTGACTCTGCTTGGTTTCATGTTACTGAAAATGCGTTTTCCTTCGTAGAGTTTTCAGGAAGGTGCCTGTAGACAAGCAACAGGGCTCTATCTAGGACTCACAGCAGCTTGTCAAATTCAGATTGCTAGTATTTTCTTCACCGTGGCCATAGGCTCTGGACTTCAGTGCATTTGTCCACTGAATATGCTTTCTTTTTCATTCGCAAATCTCCATTTCTGTTCTAACTTCCTTTTAAAGCATACATACATTGGGTTTTTAGTCAATGAAAACACACGATGCTGGGAGGAGAACAGAAAGTACAGATGCAGAGACGTCAGTCAGGACAGTAGTGCCCTGCTTCAGCCTTTACTTCACATCAAAGAAATAGCGTTGCAGGAAAACTTCCCGTTCGTGTTTTAAAACTAAAGTTTTCTTTCTTACTGTGCCATCCCAGCTCACCACTTTCTAATCTGTCTAACTCCTTTTAAGCTTGTTTGTGTATTCGACTGAACTCAAATTTCACTATGCATGCAGAATTCAGAGAATGCTTGGAAATTTTTAAGGAAGCCCCTTTCACACGTAGGCTCCGTCTTACCATTAGCCACACTAATGTTAGCAAATTCATATGCCTCAAATGTAAGAGAATTTAACTGGAGTGACTTTCCACGAGAGAAAATCAACCTGGGACATGTCAGTCCTGATACAAGGCCCTGTGGCTAATGTCACGCAGATTGCCAGAGTGGTGCCGCAGGACTGAGTAAGCCTTCACTTCCAAAGCATGCCTCACCAGAGTTGCTGTTAGCTGCAGCTTTGCTCCATGTTCAGTCTCCAGGCTGTAGCCCTGAGAACATGGCAATTTGTATAAATGCTGCAAATTGCCATTTCTGCATTTAAGAAACCTAGCACACTTTTTACCCTTACTCCGTCATTTTCCTTCTCTTCAGCAGTAGGAATTCTTCTGGAACTGTTGAGTATCTATTCATGTATGGTTCTCTGTGATGTGTACACAAATTGAAAGAAAGTTCCAATTGATCCTCATGGGTCAGAGAGAGGGCGCCGAAATGCTGTGTGTGAGCAAGTATTTTCTACATAGCCCTCTCCACAACTACAGGAACTTCACAACCTACATCCCAGAGCACGTGGCACCATGTATAAAACTCTAGTGCTTTTCCGGTTTAATTATGGTGAGGCAAAGAAGGGCCACTCGAATGGAAACATCTGTTTCCCCATGTTATAATCTTGTACTGTATTATACATTTAAAGCAACAAACAAGTAATTATAATTCCAAGAATCCACTGTGTTTCAGCCAGGCTCCATCCTTTTTTTTTTTTTTTTTTTTTATTGTTCACGAATTCATGGATATGTTGGCAGATCTTCCTGAGCATGTGTAGGTAGCCCTATAGCAGGCAGGAGACACCAAGCAACTTAGACTATTCCTATAAAAGACATGTTTTAGACCTGGAAGGCCACCCCAAGGCCATCTACCAAAAGCCTGGCTAGACTGATTTCAGAGGCCCCTTGGAAAATGTACCATTGGAGTTGAGGGTCCATAGAGGACTAGACCTTGCAAAGTCAAAATGCTCAAAGGGAAGGGAGGACAGCAGCTCAGGAGAGGCCAGTGTGACTGGACCTGAGTGACTAGAGGGAATGTGCACAGATGCCATAAAGGAGTGGAGATTTATTCTCCATGCAAACGGAGGTGACTGAATGAGCATTGGTAGGGAACTGAGGTTTAAAAACTCCCTTAATCATGGAATAGGCTTAATTAGCATCATTCCACTGGAGAGGAAAGCAGCCAGCAGGTAGCCAGTATTATAGCAACATTGCTTCTGTTTGGTGCTTATCTTTCTCAGGGCTGTCTTACTCAGGGACATAAACACACCACTCTCCTGCACCTTTCAAGTCCCCACCATCCTAAAGTTACAGCATTCTCCCTCTCTCTCTCCCCCCCCCGCCTCCCTCCCTCCCTCTCTCCCTCTCTTTGAAATACTGTTAGCCTCACATCTGTTTTCCTGGGTCCTTGTCAACCTCTTCGTTTCTTGTCTCCGGAAGTCCACACATAGCCAGTTTATTTTCTATTCATTGTATCCATCCCTCTTGCATTCTGAGCAGATAGGTTTATCTCACGTGTGGCCATAACTAAGTCTGCTACTGCATATTCTTTCCATTCCAAGCCACACTGTGTTCTAGCCCAGGCCTGCAGGACGCTGCTCCATGTCAGGCTCACTGGAAGATGCTGAAGGACAAGCGCAGATAGGCAGATCCCTGTGGAATGTCTCTTGACACTCAGAAGACCTGAAGCAAATCTCTAAAATTAGCTGCTTCTAACAGAACATAATCAAAAATAGAAATATCAGTGTGCCTGAGTTATGGCCATGGCACTTCTTAGTCTTCGGTTTTGTGTAGACATGGAATGTGTCCATATGCCCCAGACTTGAGTGAAATTGAAATATATCCAAAAGAAAAAAATCCCAAGGATAATAAGTGACTATTCTCACCTCTGTCTTTCAAAATGGCAGCCCTAGTGCATCCTTGGAACATTCCCCCCAGTAATAGCATAAGTAGAAAAGGCCCTTTGCTGCTGATTGGCTGGCTCCTCCTGCGCCTTTCCTCATGTTAGACAATTTTTTTCCACAGAATCCTGTTGAAATCATAACCACCTAGCATAGGCTCTATAGGGTTGAGTCTCACTCCCACAAGCAGAAATCAAATGTCTTGCCTACCTTAGGGACAGGATGGTATTGACATTGAGGACGTTAGGATTCAAGAGCTTCTAGGCTTACCTATTAGAACCTATACTTCTTCCATAATGTTATGCCAGCTCGTATCTGTTACTAGGAGTGAGGCTGCCTTGGCTCAAAGGAGTTTGGCATCTGGATGGCTGTCCCCTCTCAACACCCTGCCACCGCTGTCAGAGTGTGACCAGAGGCCCCGAGGAATGCAGACCTCCACAATGCTGGAAGCCCCACCCAGCATCACAGTGCTCCAAGTGGGCGGTGTTTTACCTAGGCACACAGGGCGGTGAGAGAGCCTAATGCCCGCCCCTTCCTACTGCCCAAGGATGCCAGAATTTCTGGGGCTTCACCTTGAGTCCTGTGTGGAAGCAGTGCTGGGAAAGCCCCACAATTACTGATGTTAAGCACTATGGTGTAAAAGAAGTTAAAATGGGGAAATACTAGCAGGCCTGAGGTTAAAAATAGTAATGGAGAAAAGAGGATTGACATTTACTATACTCCCTGCACAAGTGCTTGAGGATGATGGAGCCCCCACAGGACACTGGGCAGAGTGCTGCCCACATTGCATTTGCTTTGACTGCAGAAAGAGTGAGGGAGCATTTTACAGGGGAGGTACCAGGTCGGTTATCAAGTCCCAAAGTGTTAGATATAACGATCTCTTAAAACCAAAAGCGAAGGTCCTGACGAAGCAGCTAGAGGGGAGGCTCTGAGGTACCTTCATCTGTGTTTCTATGTCATTAAAAGGAACCATTCTAGAGGACTTCATAGAGGGCACCAATGTTCATCTGGCAAGACTGTGTAGGGGAACAGGAAAATCAGCAGCCACTGATAGCAAAGGAACCTGAATTCCAATTCCAACTTTGCTACTTTCTATCTGCTTGTCTTCGGGGGAAGCTATTCGGACATTCTAAGGTTTAGCTCACTCCAGTATTGAGCAGGGAAGATCACAAGACCTTTCAAATAAATAAGGAAATCTATGTAAGTTAATGTTACAGTTGAAGACATTACACTAAGTGAGGAGAGTTGGTGATGTAAGGACCAAGTCCTGGATGACTCCATAAGAAGTACCTAAAATGGTCATGCTCATTCATAGGCTTAAAAAGCAAAAAAGGTGGTTGCTAGTTGCTGGGGTTGAAAGAGGAATTGCTAGCCCATCAGCATAACATTCCAGCTACCAAGATGAATTAGCTATGTCTGTAATGGGTGGTAACTTTTTATCCACTTAAGAAACATGTGAAAAGGGTAGGTGTTATGTTAAGTGCTCTTACTACAATAAAACAATTTTTTTAATTTAAAAATCAGCTGCCCAGTTTAGGATGTTGATCAAAGGAAATTCTTAGTAAATACAAATAATTCATAATGCTTAGGAGTAGCAAAAGAATTGTGTGTGGCTGAAAAGTTAGCTGGATCATAGTTTCAATCTGGTTGCAAAATTGCCTCTTTATGTGCTACTCTAAAGGTTCCAAGCACACCTTTTATTAATTGTAATTTTATTATTTAAATTTATTTTTAAATGTTTGATTAAGTGTTTTCTCTGTAGCGCCACCCCATCACAAAGATGAAATGTTATAAACTTAAGACAAAAATCCATTTATATATGTAGGATTCTTGAATCCTTTGAAGAAGACTATGAAGAGAGTGAACTCTCTAGTTTAGGCAGTTTTGTTCACTACGGAAAGTCATATTGAATTGGGATATTAAATACAGCTTAAGGAAATATAGTTTTTCCATAGACTAAGAAATTCCTAGACGTGAGTCTAAATCACTATGTTGAAAGCAATGGAAATGGTTTCATTTCACCACATAGACCAGAAT